AGCCAAGTCAATATTACACATCTCAAGAAAACCTTATTGAACTTACTGTGAATGTAATATAAGCCTGCGATGGAAGTGACAGACTTGCCAAAAATAATCTCAACAATAGTAAATTTAAGTATCGAATTGATATCAAAATAATACTATTAAGAGTCTTATCTCTTATAACAATAAGAACAAGCAAGAAAAAATATCTACAAGGAATAACAAAAACAAAAACAAAGATTCAATCAAAAAGTAACAAGGTATAAAAATTGGAAATTGGAAAAAATATATTAATGTATAATATTGCCAGGAATAAATACTTTATAGAAAAACTGAAGCCAAAATAGAAAAAACCCTTCTATATTTATGATTTCTTGCCAAATAATGTTTTCAAGCTTAGAATGATAGAAGAAAAAGTTCTTGCCATTCCAATTAATATTTTTCCTTTGAAACTATACTTTAATTAATTGGTATAGGAATTTAATATACATATAGAAACATCTTTTAGCTACTGAAAAATTCAACACTCAAGTTACATAATGTAAATACAGATGCTTTGGTAACCTAGTCCTCAACTTGTTCAAAACAAGCATCCTTGGACTCTTGACTATGCCTAAAAGAAAGAAAAAGCAAGCAAGAATATAATATAGTATGAATAATACAAAAAGTATTTATATTACATATTGTTGCTAATTTAAAGAGCAAACTTAATATCTATCATATTCCCTTCTATGAATTAAGAGAATTATTTTAAAAAAAAAGAGAAGATAAAATCAAATCTAAAAAGAAAAACACCTCTCAAAACCAGCTTGAAGCAAGAACATCTGTTAAAGCAACTCTTATACAATCTTTATTTTTAACCTAAACTTAACTTTCTTCCTTTTTAACTCTATAGCTTGAAGAAAACTGCCTCTAGCATGACTAAAACCTTTCAGCTTCCTTTCAAGGTGCCAATAAAACTTTTGCAACTTTAAAACTTTTTGATAAAAGAAAGAAATATACTTCTCTAGGAAACCAAACTCAGTTCAAGTCTCTGGGTTTTGCTACAACCAAAGACAAAGTTTCAGTACAAGTGACAAAGTAAAAGTTAACAAGAATTTCTATAAGTATAAAGCATATTGATATTATTTTGAATAAAGATTATTTGTTCAATAATATATAAGAAAACCTTAAATACAAAATGATAAAACCTGTTGAAATATCTCTAAAAATCTATAAAAAAAATAACCGTCTTAACAAACATATTCAAAAACTGAAATAGAATTATTTCAATATACAACAACAATTCTTATAACTGCATTTGCTATTTTGATACAAGATCTATTTGGAATTACTTCTGAAAATATGAATGTTATACCAGCTTCTTATAATATTCCACAAAATATCAAAGTACAAATTTCTATTATCTATTAAAAATTACAAAAAGCATCATAAAGAAAAAATCAGATTTTGATACTCATATATATTTTCTACTTAGAGAAATTGTTGAAAAACATTTTAAACAAAAAACAATAATTTTGGATAAGTTCTCAAATCATACTATACTACTTCACTCATCCAAATAAGTCTATACTATTTTTAAAAAAATAGGAGTTATATAGCTATATAGAATCTGATTTATTACCTTATGCCTAATTTATTAAATACCATATTCTGATTTTGTTACTCTTATACAAGATTAAACTCATGGAACTTACAGATTAGTGAGAAGAATTGTTATACTTAATCTTCGCTCAACATTTTATTTATTCTTGTAACACAATCCACTAGTATTTAGCCCTGAATATATTTTTTTTTGTTTTAAAATTTCTGTATCATTAATCTATTTAGTACCTTTATTTACTTTACCTATTTAGTTATCTCTTCCTATTCTAGAATATTCTTTAATTTCATTTACTATTTCCTCTTTGCTATCTTCATCAAAGTATTCATTTCTATTAAAATAAGTATATTTAATTATTTTGCCAAAGATTCTATCTCTTTTATAACTATTATCTTTATCAAAGTATACTACTATAATATATATAAATCATATATTAAAAATATATATATAAATACCTTCAATTCCTTCTGGAATTGCAAAGTTGAACTTTTTTCTTTATTAATAAAATAACTTGACTTTTATTAAACAAATTACTATTGTCTCTTTTGTTTGATCTTATACACTTTAAAATTGTACTAATTTTAGTATACCTTATGAACTTTAGTATACCATATTGATTCATTCATACAAAAAGACTTCTGGTTACTAGTTTTTTATCTATATTTTTCTCCTGAGGTAAAATAATATATGATAACACATAACATAAAACATTTACTATTATTATGTAAATTTTAACTTTCATTAGTAAAGACTTATCAATAATCATAATACAATATAGGACAAGAACAGAAATAACAAATATAATAAAATAGTAGTAACAATAAATATAACAATAAATATAAGAAAAAAGAATAATAAGAAACTGTCTTTTAATTAAAACTTTCTAATTAAAATGCATAATTTATATTGCTAAAGTAAGTAAAATCTAATTAATTTACTTAATCCAGTACTTGTTATAAGATATTATTTTTAAGATTACAAGAAAAAAGTAGTAAATATCATATATGTGATTGTATTACCATAAAAGAAAATTTAATCGACAATACAATTCTGAATTAAATACGAATTCCAATTATTTACTATATATTACTTAGTAATTCTATTACAGTCATCCTCCTATATAATCACCTCCCATATAATCACAAATTCTATATAATCACATAATTTTATGAACCCGATTTTTTATTAATTAAAATACTCCTGTATAATCACAATTGCCTTATAATCACTATCACACTTTAGAGCAATAGAAAAAATTTTTTAATTAGTATTTATTCCTCTATATAATCACAAAGTCACATGATATATATAATATAAATTATATAATTGTTTAACTAGCAGAATAAAAATTACTAGCATTAAAATAATTGTATTATTTATTTAATCACCAATCAAAATTTTTTTCTATATATAGTAATTCAGTATTATTTATTGATCATTTGTCAAAAAAATTTTCTTTGCTATTATGTTTATTTAACCTCTGATCAAAAGAGCATATACAGCAATTAGTGATAGCTTCAAAAATATGATTTGTCAATATTTTTTGACAAATCCAAATCAAATACACCAGCAAATTGCTAAATATTTTAATAATCAAGATTCAAAAAGAAACCTTGACCATTCAACTGTATCTAAAATTTTAAAAAACAAAGACAGATGGTTGGCTGTGATTAAAAATCAAGCTGTTACTAAGATTTTCCGACACAGGAGAGTAAAATATCCTTTGTTGAATCAATTTATGCAATTATGGATTGAGCAAGTTATTCAAGATAAAATGTTTTTAATTAAAGCAATGATTAAAGAAAAAGCTTCTTATTTTATTCAGGCTCTTTCTTTGCCTAATAATGCTTTCAAATTATCCAATGGATAGATACTCAAATTCAAGAAGCATAACAACTTGCGAAATTTTCAATTATATGGAGAAGTCAAAAGTGCACCTATGGAATTGCTTCCTGAATTAAGATAAAGGTTATGAGATATTATTCAAGAATATCTATTGGATAATATATTCAATACAGATGAAACTGATTTATTTTTTTGTATAGCACCAAATCAAACTTTGGCATCTCAATCTCACTCTGGTTGGAAAAAGGTAAGCAACAAAAATGATAAATCATTTTGTATTCTCATTGTTTAAATTTTAATATTGTTAGGATCGCACACGTATTATAGTCATGTTGGCTTCTAATATCATCGGCATTGAAAAACTCCAGCCACTTGTTATTGGATCCTCAATTGAACCACGAGCATTATCTCATATCAATCATAACACATTACTTGTTACATATCATATCAATGCAAAAGCATGGATGCGGGTGATATTTTTGAAGAATAGTTAAAAAAACTTGACGATAAATTTCACCTTGAAAGTCACCAAATTCTGCTTTTAGTTGACAATGCGACAAGTCATTATAATTCGAATAATAACATACCCAATTCTCAAGACTTACAGGAAGAAGATGAAGAGTCTAGTAACAGTGATCAAGAGGAATCATCCACTGCGGGATGATAAATAATCATCAAGGTAGATGTGATCGTGGCCACTCAAGATCAAGCAATACCACCCAAGTTAATTAACAATATAATCATTGTGCCATCCTACGGGGTAGCAAAGGCAAGCGTGGTACAAGTCAAGGAAGTGTATATAGAATTCCTGATCTGTTCAACCAATGCCTGACAAATATCAAGGTCGAATTTTTGCCTCCCAATACTATGGCGCATCTTCAACTGATGAATGTGGGTATTATTAAAAGTTTCAAGGCAAAATATCAAGAAAAATATATCCAATATATATTGAATCAATTTGAAAATGGAGAGGATATCCAAAAGTAAGCAGTTTAGATCTGTTTTCTCTATTTAATTGTACAGTATTTTATTGTTTTATTTAATTTTCCATATTTTGTTATGTAACTTTGTTATAAATTTTGTATTTAACTATATATATTTATCACACAATTTTCGTCATAGGTATTTTATAAATTTCATATTCAATCCTATGTATTTATTACGGGGTTTTATTGTTTCATCAATTCAGTACATTTTGAAATATATGACTGGTACGCATATTTTGTTATCGTGCACATATTTTGATTTGTTATTTCGGTTACGTATTTCAGTACGCGTATTTCATCGTTGCATATCGTGGTATGTATATTCACTCACTATTTCAGTCATGTATTTCGGTACGTGAAGCACAGTTCGTACACATATTTCATTATTATTTTATGACTATTTTGATATGTATTTCATATTTTACGACATGTTAATCTTTCTATATATATTTTATGCTTTATATGGAAATGCTGTATCATAAATACGAGAGCTATTTATTGACTATAATTTATTCATCAACTAATAAAATTTATTATTTCTATTTAAAAATAAGATCAATATCAAAGAGGCTATTAATTACATGGCAGAATCATGGAACGAGATGGTAGAATTGACAATCATGAATTGCTGGAAAAAGATGGACATTTTGCCATTAGTATCTAATGATGAGATTGAGTTTAATAAGAATGTACACCAGGAATCATCCGGGCAAGAGAAATGTCAAATTAGAGAACTATTAAGTGATTTCACAAGCAAAAAAATAAATCCAACCATTATACAAGAAATACAATACTATGTACTGATCACCAATGCGAATATACCTATCAAAGAATTTCTCAATGATGCTCAAATTGTTGAAATTGTACTGGCAGAGCAATTAGAAGACGAGCAAGGTAATCTTAATGACAGTAATGAGGAATTATGCAACATTCTATCTTTAAATATATTACTTGGATTAAAAAATTTTATCATATTTTTTAAACAGCAGATGAGTAGTGATTTTAATGCTGATGACCTGAAGGTATTTCAAAAATACTTGCCTCTAATGGAGAAAAAAAATGCTGAAGCAAAGAAACAAAAATCTATTATGGATTTTTTTGACTCATTAAAGATTCAAGAGACTACCAATAATAATTAGAATTTTTAGTTATAATATAATGTATTCAATATTGCAATAAAATTTTCGATACAAGAATAATAATGATAAAAATATATAATTATACTCCTATATACTCACATCATATGACTATACCTAATTTATGTGATTATATAGGAGTGTTGGCCTTAATGGCAAGTCAGTCGCTAATTCGAACCAAGACTCGTATGACATTAAGTAAGTGGGTCTATGTTGCTGGCAATACCAAAGGTATGTATAGTGATAATTATCCTTATCTTTTTTTTCTCTAGATTGGTTTCTTTTCCAATCCTTCACTGTCAAACTGCAGGACCTGTAGATTCTTTCTAGGATGACTAAAGACAAATAAGGTAAGTTTATTAATTATCATTGTACTAGCACACACAATTGGATTTACAGCAAATAGTATTTTATTAATTCGTTATTTAATTACATCTCTTCTTTTATATCTGGATATCATTGCTATTTATATATGATTGTGACACGTCTTTAAATCTATCGTCACGTTATGCAGAATTATTAAACTTTTATAAGCTTTGCGCCCATCGGTCATACATGATTGATGTATGATCAATGCCCCATGTGGCACTGTACCGGACCCACATGTCGCGTCATGCCTCCTACTATAATTTTATGCTAACAAGAGATAATATAATTATAATCACACTCCTCTACAATCACCAATTTTGGGTGGAACAAACCATATGATTATATAGGAGAATGACTATATAATATGGTTTTTAAAAAATAGTTGAATTCAATTTTATCACATATATAATAAAGATTTATTAAAAGAAGTAGACAATAAAAAAAGAAGATAAGATTATTAGTAAAAAACTTAGCTAAACAAAATCATATGTCTCAAGTAAAAAAGCCAAAAACTTATCTGATATTATAGAGGATTGCTCTGGAGAAGCAACAAACTTATTGAAAAGATGTTAACAATATTGTTTTCCATATATTTTATTGAAACCATATAAAAAAACATTTGAGAATTATAAGAAATTAATATTATCACAATTAATTTTCATATCTGAAACTAGCACTAAGGAATATAAAGTGAAAACAATCTTGAATAAAAAAATTATTTGTAAGAAACTACAATATTTACTTAAATAAATGTAACATTTATTATATAATATAATATAGAAATCTCTGAAGACTTTAACCAATATTAATAAAAAAGTCAATAAATTTGAATCAACTAGAATATTTTTTCTTAAAAAGAAATAATGTATTAATTTTTCTATTTTGTTATATCTGCTGTATTATACTGTATAATATTGTATAATATATAATTAGAATATTACAGATTATCTATAAATACTTAAAAATATTTCAAAACTTTCTGAAATATACTAAAGCCTTTTAGTATCTTCTGAAACTTTATTAAATATTTTAAAATATTATTAATCATTTTTTATTATTAATTGTATTTAATTGTATTTATATTTATTTATAATATATAAGCTTTTTAAAAGAACAAAAAAAAACTTATATATTAATAATATTACAAATGGATTTTAAATATGAAACTTTATTAAACAAATGTTTGCTGTTATTACATTAATAGTTTTTATAAAATACAAATTAACTATAACCTATTGTAACTTAAACTAGTATTACAATTAATATTAAGAAGATGAATTTGATAGGACTAGTGCCAAATAATTAATACCCATTTAAAATAATGATATTATGACTAGAGTGAAAATTGATTTGTTAGTATTATTGTTATTTAATTCAAGTAAATTTAAATTTTTTTAAAATATTAAGTTGTTATTGTTATTATTTGTTAATTTATTATTATTATTTGAGGCTTTAGTTTTTTTTCATTTGACTCCAGAGGATAGAGGGGTAAAGATGGGTTCCTAAAGTATTTAGCATATAAAATTTACATTCCTTTACATCCACGTCCCTTAGAGGACATAATTCCTAACTGTTTATTTCAATAGGAACATAATTTCAGAAATGATTTGTATAGATGCTTAAAACTATAAAGAACCTTTGTAGGTAGTT